ATGATATACATTTGATCTCTGTGCACAGTCTTGCTAGTGTTAAACTCAGACTTCCAGGCGGTGCGTGGATACATACGTCCACAACGTCCGTATTCAGCACTTCACGCACATCTACACATCCACTCACATTCCCAATTGATACAAAAAGCAACTCGCAACGCGACAAGGCAAAAGACTGGACGAACAGGGAATCGAACCCTGGACCACTCACATGCTAAGCGAGTATTATACCACTAAACCATTCGCCCGAGATGATTTCGCCCGGACTTGAACCGGAGACCTTCAGTGTGTTAGACTGACGTGATAACCAACTACACCACGAAACCATTTGGGTTGTTGAAGACATTAAGGGAAAGAGACGCTAAGATTTGACGGCGGGTCGACGGGGTTGTGGGAATGGCTAAACCCTGGTGGGGGTTGAGTCTTGACTGGTCTTGACGGGCCCGCATCAAGAATTGAACTGCAGATGGGTGAGTGAGACTCCACTATCTCACGAGAGCATTGCTAGAAAGAAACAATTATGCCGAGAGTCAGTGATAGAAGGTACCTATTGTAAGAAAGTTTGTAGTGAGCGGGAGAATTTAAAGCTCCACATGTAAGGCCATGAAGTTGGATCACAAGTATTGTATAACGTGCTGGCATTGTCAAGAAGTTTTCTTGCATTAGGTGTATCACGCTGACCAGGAAATAATGAGTTTGTGGCTGTCAGCATGTGAAACTCCGCCTCATCAGAACTAGACTCATTTGCGACAAGCAGTAGCTGCCATGCCTCAACTTGAAAGTAGCCATTCATAGAAGCGATTGTATATAAGAGCTTCGCGGAGATAGTGCGGACTGGACTTTGATTTTGAGATGTCATTTTACAGTTTGCAGAAGCCGTTTCGAGGGCAGCCCGAGTTCACCAAAGCAGGGAAGCCTTGGTCATTACTTAAAACGGACGACACAACGCACCGGATCATCTCAAGCAACTGGAGGAATATCAGTATAAGAATACTGAATGGAGTAGCCTGTGCTTGAAATATTATTTGAGCATACAACATCACCACAAATGCACAGCGTGACTTTAGTAATTCCCGCCAAACCAAGCGGTCGCTCAGTTGTAGACCGTCAACAGATTTTAACTAACCATGTAACATCATCCTATTGCTCCATTTTTAGGTGTTCACTCGGTTGTTTGGTCCCACTTACAAAGTTTAGATTCCTTCAATGGAGCCTCAAAGGAGTTAGCCTGCATACCACATAGCCGACATCAAGCTGAGGTCCGTTCTGGTAGGCAGTTTGCTATGTCCAGGGCCATTCTCCATTCTATCTTTAGGCTGTCAGAAACTATGTGGCTAGCATTCTTTGAGTGATCTTTTAAATCCCATGGCAATGAATTACTAATTCTGAGCCGACATAGGCGCTTTGTTCAAGTATTTGCAAAACTGCAGTGCCCACCTTGTGCTTAGCGCGATGAATGACGTCGCCTACAGAAGCCTTGGCGTCACCATCCGACATGTGGAATTAAAAAGGTGACGAAATTCGGCCTCACCACCCGAGGAAGAATGAAGTGACCAATTCCTCACTCTAAGCGAACCCCCATCACAGGCAAAGACTGCTTCAACCGTATTATATCCCAGCAACCACGCAGGATCGTTTCTTTCATCTCTATACTGCAAACCATCTCTAGTGCAAACCACTTTCTGCAACAAATATGGCACCAACGAAAGATAATCTCGGTTTCCAGTGCGCCGTCATTACCGGTGGCGCTGGTGGCATCGGAAAGGTCATGGCCCAACACTTCATCTCAAAGGGCAAGAAGATTCTCCTCGCTGGCCGTACCGAGTCAAAACTTCAGGAAACGACGAAGGAAATTGGGGCTGCAGGCTACTATGTTCTTGACACGGGCGATGTCGAATCCATTCCGAGCTTTGTCAAGAAAATCACTACCGATCATCCGGAATTGGACTGCCTAGTCAACAACGCAGGGGTCCAGCGGCCCCTTGAGGTGCTCAAGGACGATGACTTCCTCTCAAAAGCCGATCAAGAAATCAACATCAACATCCGCGGTCCAATGCACCTGGCTTTGGGCCTACTGCCACACTTGCAGAAGAAGGAATCGGCTCTGATCATCAATGTGTCGAGTGTCCTGGGCTTCATTCCATTCTCAATCATCAATCCGGTCTACAATGGCACGAAAGCTTGGCTGCACTTCTGGAGCATGAACCTCCGCACTCAGCTGAAAAATGGTGGTTCCAGGGTCAGAGTGGTGGAAATCGCACCGCCGACGGTAGCTACTGATCTTCATCGGGAACGATCGGATCCAAATGACAACAAGAAAGAGAACAACCCTAATGCTTTGAGTGTGGATGAGTTCATGGAGGAGGTTGCGAAGAAGTTGGAAAACGGCGACGAGACCATCGGCCCTGGCATGGCTGGTGAAGTAATTGACCGCTGGTACGGTGCATTTGGCGATCAGTATGATAATGCTGCGGCGGGCAAGTAATAAAACCAGCGCCAGGTTCTCTTTCATAAATATCTAAGAGCGAAATATTTTGTTCGAATTCGAAGAATCCTCAGGGTCAACCTCTATGCCGCCCAACCCCTCGTGCAGTGTCTTGCGTGAGAAGCCCAGGGTCTGAAATTTTCAGACTTTCCCCAACGTTTTCAAACTATCAGTCTTCGATCCGTAGTGATCGTAACAGCCAATGACTCCATTTCTAACCCAGATGCCGTAGGCTAGATAGTCGCCTCTGGTTAGCCAACTGAGCATGCATGCTACTTTTGGAAATACTCACAAATATCTACCCATGACCAATTATTGCCTCTCCAGAACCATTTTTTTCGCGGGCAATTCGAGCAGTACAAGTACAAAGTGCTGCCTTTTTCTTTTGGGTCTTGCTGCAATCTGCACCCCTTGCATTTGTGGCCTCCGCTAAGAAAGAGGGGTGTTAGCTGCGTTTAAAGCCGACAAACTCGTGTAAGATTCAAGGAGAACGTAGCGCGGCCTCATATAGTCTCCGGGAGAAAGGCCGAAAAGTCATGCCTGGGTCAAGAAAAGGGGGACTCAACGCATCGGCCCATTTGAGGAACCCATCAAAGTTACCGATACACCATCGAAGATCAATCCACGTGAGTACTTCGTTACCAGCGTCATTCTTGCAGCGGGCATTCAAGACGATTGGCGTCTCATAGTCCGGTCCACCAATATCGTATGTGATGTCCTTGCACAGATTCTGGATACAGTCAGACTCGAGCGGGCAAGTCCTGGCTATGGTCGAAGACGCAAAGATCGATAGAATGACGAAAATAGCGAGGTTTGTGAGACTCATGGTTGCGACGGGGACAAGTGGTATGTAATTGTCAAGGCGAGGGCCTGATCTTCGAATGCATGGAAAGTTCCTGTAGAGGCACAGATCGGTCGAGCGACTATTGGAAGCGGCGCGATGTATTTAATGAAATAGGCTCTTTTGATGTCTCGCCGGCTCATTTTTGAACATTAGACGGATTCAGATTCAAACTCGAGTGCCATAGCACCGTGTTTGAGGCATTCCAGACCGTTCATCTTTACATTAGAGAAAGAGACCCAAGATGTCTGAGGTACTTTTTCCGGATGTTGACATCAAGCTCTGACAGATGGACACAGGGGGAAAACTAGAATGGCGTTCTTTGGCGAGGTGCTCGACCCTGATGCCGCTTTACGCCCCCTTTGTGAAGTTCCAAGCCATCGTCGTAGCTGAGTTCAATGGTCTTCTCAGCTTGGATCTTTGAAGATGATGAGGGCTTCGGGCAAGTCAAGTGGAAATGTGTTTTGCAGTACAATGCAACTGCTTCCAGGAAGTGAAACAAAATACTGAATGTCAGTTTGAGCTGTCATATATTGCCTCAGCTTCCACCACGTGGCACAGATCCAAATTGTGCAACATCCACCACGTGAGACAATCTTTCACTGCCCGCAAACCTTTGGCGATTTGCAACTCACTGCTCAACAAAGCAATCTTGTATCACCATCTTTGATCACTGGCAACCTATGCAGCCGGTTTCATTTGGGTCGGTTCTCAAATGATTCAGCGGGCCTATTGTGGGTCTGTGGAACCACTGGTCGGATTTGAGTTGACACAAATTTTCATTCCATCAGACCCATAGCCGTGACTCATTTCCAGGGCTTCTTGAAAGAATAATGCTCGAGTATCGCTCACCTAATACGTCCCACAAGCACGGTAGCTCAGGGGTAGAGCGCTGGGCTCATAACCCAGAGGTCCCTGGATCGAAACCAGGTCGTGCTAGTTTTCCTTTTTGCACTTTTTCTTTTGCTCAGGCTACGCTTAGGAAGCTGGTGATGTGTTTCTTCGTATTCTACTCATTGATTCTGGCGCATTATGTCTACTTAAGTGCCTATATCTTCCTTGAAATCTACGAGCCTTAGTAATTTTGCTCCTCAACAGTTGCAGACAGGGTGAATCAAGTTGGCATCAGAGCTTCCCCTCAGCGCGTCTTTGGTCCCCTAGTCTTTATCAAAGAGTCGCCATCTACTCTCGTTCTTGACTCAAGGGGGGACGATTGTTGACGGGATTGGCCAACTACCCATGCAAGAAAATGACCCCACTGAATCCTTCCAATAGTCTTGACGTCTCATCCATCAACGCGCTTCCCTCAAACCCCGCTCGTTGCATGCTCGTTCAATAGTCCTCCTCTCGTGCTCTCTTTGCCGCACACCCAACAGACGGTAACTCACAACCGAAAATGAACAAGCAATGCATCTACTGCGCGAAGCTATCAATCGAAGCACTGGTCGAGCTCGCCAAGATCAGCTTTGAAGCACAGAGATTTCCACAAGATGCCTATTACCAGCACCACGACTCGTTCAGCGCTCTTGAGCAGTCAGCTCACGATGGCTGTGATCTATGTCAAGTCATACTCCAATGCTTCCAGCAGACACCTGCGACGTAGAACAACCTCTGGAGTGGCCACAAGAATGGAATGAGACAAGCAAGGCGTCCTCGGACGGATATCCCCAAACAATGTACTCTGTTGCGAAGGGACTCGACGTCTCAGACGTTAAACTTTGCATCAACACATCGCATCTGTACGATTCACAAAGGCTGCGGGATGTACAGGTCTTTGATGAAATCATTGTCCAAGTTGGAACTTTGCACATTGAGACGGATGAGAACTATGGCATATGGTCATTTCCCCAGCTTGTATTGAGACTGAGTACTCCTAAAGGTTGGTTGGAAGCAATTAGATCCATCAGAAGGTCATGATCCTGAACTCACATCTCTATTCCAGACCAGGCGGTCTATGTGGAAACATTCCGTATTGGGAGGTTTGAAGTTGACCCAGATCTCGGGTCCTTGACAAATCACCAACTAGCCAAGGAATGGCTTACAGAGTGCTGCCACGATCATGAATCATGTCTCTCGCATCAGATACACGAACTTCCGAGCAGAGTCATCGATGTCGGTAGCTCCTCGAAAGAAGGCTCGGTTCGTCTGCTTCTCTCCCATGGCTTGAAAGCAGACTACGTTGCCCTGAGCCACTGCTGGGGTGGGGCAATATCGCCTCTTTTGACGACCGAATCAACTGCCATCTTCCAACAGAACATCGACATTGAAGTATTACCGGCTAACTTTCGTGACGCTATCACAATAACACGTCATCTTGGTATTCGCTATCTGTGGATAGACTCTCTGTGCATACAGCAAGACTCGAAGTCGGATTGGGAGGTCGAGTCCAAGAAAATGGGACTGGTATATCGAAACTCAACAGTGACGATCTCAGCGATGATTTCCGGGCATAGCAAGTCAGGGATCCTGAAAACCAGCCAGTCAGCACATAGTCTCGGTGCTTCCACCACTTTGGACGTCTTTGGAGGCGATGATGACACATCTAAGGTCACTGTGAGACGGAAGAATCTACAGGAAGAGAACCTCATATCTTTGGATAGGCGCAGTGCGCTGGCAGAGCGTGGTTGGACCCTTCAGGAGTACATTCTGTCTCCAAGGCACCTTTTATACGGGCAAGAGATGATTTACTGGAGATGTCCTCGAGGGTTCAAATCTTCAGACGGCTTGCCGCCAGGCAATAACTCACCGCACACGATTTACAAGGATGCTGCACAAGTCATTTGCTCCGATATTCTACGGCATCCTGATGAGGTACCCCCTGATATCGATGCCATCTTCAGAGACTATTCCGAGCTTGTCAACGCGTATTCGCAACGAAAACTGACCTACGGCTCGGACAAGCTGCCCGCGTTTTCCGGTCTAGCCCAGCGACTCCATCCAGCCATAGGAGGTGAATACTTGGCTGGGATCTGGACAGCCAATTTCAGACAAGGCCTGCTCTGGACAGCAGAGATGAAATTTTGTCAGCATGTCAACGAGCCTTATCGAGCACCATCATGGTCATGGGCTGTGACTGATGACCTAGTGCTCTTTGAGGGTCCACAAGCGGTTGAGGAACAGGTGGTGCTAAAATCGACGCCATCAAGCGCCAAACTTCTGGAATACAGCATCAACCCTAGGGTCCCTGACAACCCATACGGCGAGATCCTCTCAGCAAAGCTGGTGGTGGAAGCCTTGACGAAACCGTTCGTGCGTAGCCGTCAAGTGGTCGAGACCATTCTAGACCCGAACTCGATTGGAACTGCCAACTTTGATGAGCCGGCTGGCCCCGAAGACTCGGTTCCAATGGGCTGGGCGAGCCTTTTCCGCATGAAAACAGAAGGTGGAGACTACATAGTCAGCATCATCACTCGTCCAGGTGACGATGCTGATTGGGAAGTCGACTTTCATTACTTTCGGGAGCAAGACTATCTTTTGATGCTCGTTTACACCGACGACGATGGCGCAGAGGACGATGAGACTGAGTGGTCGCAATCGCCTGCGTTTTGCCTGATACTTCGACAAACGAGCGATGAATCTCAGGAAACATACGAGAGAGTCGGATTCGCAAAGTTGCAAGAGCCTAGGCTGAGATGGCTCAAGACTTGGGAACGATGCGTTCTGACACTTGTGTAGATAGGAACATAATCAACAGCGAGATATTTGTGTCTGTTTCAATGCGACTTTGAAATCGCAACCCGCGGACATGTGAAGATAAAGTCGGCCCACCCCCGGAATCTGCGCATGAGTCGTAACCGCACGAAAACGTCGGTGTCATCCGTGACCCTGGTCATCGCAGGCCTGTCGAATTCCGCCTGTGTTTCCTATTTCTCTCATTCTCCTCATGGCAACCCCAACAATATTGCGACTCCGATGCGGGGAAATCGTTTGCCAAGTTCAAAATCCGACGTGGTTTCTGCTCCGGTTCGTGTGGAGAAAAACATGGCCAGATCGCGGGGTCGCATCACACATTTTATAAGCGCCCGACTCGGAATCGCGCGCTCTTCTTAAATGCAACCTTCCCCCGGTGTGCGCATTCGGCTGATTCCCCCGCGTTGTTTACCCAGGCGCATCCGCCCGTTCGTTTTGTGACGCGCATCCTCGGCGCGGAGCTCGGTGGATAGCCTACATCGGAACGATATTTCAATGGTGCGCGTAACAGTTGCGATGACCTCACTAATGCTCGACTCAAGCTATCCATGCCGGGGAACACGGGGCCGTGCGGGGAGGATGGTAGCATTTCGCTCTTGGCATCAAGCTATAAGATGAACACGAGTCGTTCGACGAATTATGCTTAAATACTGGTTCACAAGATGCGATGATTGAGACTCTCTAATCGTCCCGGCTCGACCACGTCCATTCATTGCAGCTCCAGTGCAGCCATGGCCTCTGTCGCGTTCACTCTTCTAACGGCGCTTGCCAGTCGGGCTTCGGCCAAGACCGTCAAGACGCCGACGCCTCAGATGGGTTGGAACAGTTACAACTACTACAACTGCTACCCGAACGAGACGATCATCAAGGAGAACGCTCACGCCGTCGTGGACACCGGTCTCGCGGAGGCCGGGTACTCTACCGTCACGACGGATTGCGGTTGGCCGGCCAAGGACCGTGATGCCAATGGAGAGCTTGTGTGGAACCCGGCCCTCTTCCCGTCCGGAGGCGCTAAGGAACTCGGCGACTACCTCCACAACCTCGGCCTCAAGTTCGGCGTCTACTCCGGCGGAGGATACTTCCAATGCGGATCCACTGATCAGCCTGCCTCGCTGGGTATGCAAATCATCGTAGCTGCGATTGACTGACTGGAGTTGACCATGTTTTTAGACCATGAATTCACCGATGCGAAGTCATTTGCTGCTTGGGGCGCAGATATCCTCAAGTAAGTTCAAGTGATCGGGCTAAATGACGATTCTGACAAGATCAAAGATATGACAACTGCTATCCCATTGACCCCACGGTGATGGTCGACTACGTCTCTGAGGAGGCCATCTCCCCGGACCGCTTCGTGACGATGGCTGAGGCGATGAACACCACCGACCGAGACATGGTCTACCAGGTTTGCCAATGGGGCACAGGAACCGACCTGGGTGTTTGGTAAGTCGTCACTTACCCGCATTTGTCTGCTGACATTAACGGAAGCTAATCTCGCATGCAGGGTTCCCAAGATTGGAAACAGCTGGAGAATCAGCAACGACATCTACAACAGCTGGCGCAGCATCTGGCGCATCACGAACCAAGTCGTCCCCTTCTACAAGTACACCGGCCCTGGTGCCTTCCCCGACATGGACATGTTGATGTGAGTGGTCTGATGATAGTCTGCCTGACATCACCGCGGAAACTAACTGTAGCACTGCAGCGTCGGGCTCAACGCCTTGTCTATTGAAGAGGAAAGGTTTCACATGGGCATGTGGAGTATTAACAAGTCGCCCCTCACCCTGGGCGCCCCGGCCATCCCCGCCCTCGTGCCGGAGCACACCTTGTCCATCGTCGCCAACAAGGAAGTAATTGCAATCAACCAGGATCCGCTCGCCAAGCAGGCCCAGCTCGTCCGCCGCTTCACCGAGGAGGAGTGGGACGTCTGGGCCGGCGAGCTCTCTGGCGACCGCCTCGTCGTCGGCATCGCGAACTGGAAGAACGACTCCCAGGCCGTCAGCTTTGACGTCGCCGACGTGCTGGGCGTGGCCTCGGCCAACGCCCGCGACGTCTGGGCTGCGAGTGACGTCGGCTCCATCTCGGGGACTTACGAGACGACCCTCGTGGGCCACGAGCTCAGGCTGCTGGTGCTCTCAGACCTCTCCAGGGCGGAGCCGGTCCACAGCTCCACCGGGTATTACACGGCCACAACGAACGGTACGCTGTCCGGATCAGCGGCCGCGGTGGCTTGCGGCAGTGGTGGATGTCTGCCCAGCGGGTCGAAGGTGGGCAACATCGGGTCAGGGGCTGCGGTCAAGTTCGAAGGCGTCGAGGCCAAGAGCGAAGGCAAGAAGTTGCTTGGCGTTGACTTCATCAACTACGATGTCGCCCTCGACACTGCCTGGGGATTTGGTGCCAACGTTCGCAACATGACTGTCTCTGTGAACGGCGGTACTGCTAAGCGGTGGGCATTCCCCATCTCTGGAGGCAACTGGTTCGACACAGGCCGCTTGCTGGTCGAGGTTGATGGTTTCAAGGGTGACAGCTCCAATACCGTGGAGTTCAAGAACGTCGGCAGCGAATGGGCTCCCGACTTGGTCGGTTTCGAAGTCTTCGAGTCCGCCTAAGCTTTCGAGCAGCGTCTTTTCTTCTTTGCACATTATTATTCAAGGCCACTCAAGACAATGGTCGTCAACGTTAAGTTAGTTTCTAATCATATTGATCTGCCCACCGAGAGTCCTGTCTTTACCACACGGTGACATTGTACAAAGGAAAACATTGGTGCATTTGAAAGTACACTAATGGGGTATACGTGTAAAACAGCATTTTAACCAGTGCATGCCACCCAGTCCTCCAGTCGTGTTCGATAATACTACAAGGTTAGTGCGTTGAAAACGTCGGTAGTGGTCAATTACTCTTCTCAAGCGAGCGAGAGCGAGGGTGGCCGGGGTTGCCCGTGAGCGAGTCTTCGTCGTCGATCTTGTAAAAAGTGCTACCGCTGCCAGTGTCGTCGTGTCCCGACCTTCCACCAAATGAAGGAGTATTGGAGTGCTCGGGCGTCTGGTCGACTCTGATTTCAACGTCGACTCTTCGGTGGATTCCGTTCGCGCTCTTGGGGATGTTGTCCAACTGTAGTTCGGCGGGAACGGCTCCGACGCTGGCTCGGTGGTAGCTCTTGAGTCCTGCGTCGTGCTCGCCGCGGTTGGCATCGTGCTGTGTCGTGCGGTGGCCGCGAGAGTGGCCTTGGGAGTAGGAAAGCGAGTTGAATCTGAAGCCGCTGTCTTGACCCTTGGCGAGCCGGGTGATGAGAGACGCCATGGACATCTCAATGTTAAGCTTGACCATGTAGGCGACGGGGTGGAACTGGATGAAGACGACTTGGTTGGGTAGCGACATAAGTCCGATGAGCATGCCGTCCATGGCAATAGAAAGAATCATGAGCTTGGCGTTGAAGCCCACAAGGGGCTTGTATTTGACCAGACCATGCTGGCTTAGGAGTCTTGTCTTGACGATGCGCAAGAAATACCAGTTGAGACCGGCATCGACAATCAGGATGAGGACCTTGGAGGTGCGGTCCCAGTAGTGGTTGATAAGGGCGAAACTGCGGGCATGAGGTCAATGTCGTTGAAGGGTTCGTCTTATAGTTGGGTCAACTTACGTGTCATTGACAGGAGGGGAAAGATGGGATGGAATCCAGATAATGAAGACGGCGATGTTGATCACAGTGATGAGCACTGCGGTTCCCCATTTCAACCTCATGATTGTCTTCTGGCTTTCCGCAATGACTGCGATTCGGTTGATGATGATTTGCATCAATAGTTGGACCTCAAAAACCCAACAAAAGAGAATGAAGAACAACACCGGCACCCTAGCCAACCAGAGTTAGTATTAAATTTCTCAACAGATATCGTCTCGAATAGACGTACGTTGGTCCTAAAATCCCATCCAAGAACAACCAGCCGATGACTGTGATGACGAGGTTTGCCAGAATCTCACCCCACATCATGTAGATGTATGAACTTCGAAGCGGGTTCCGGTTCCTCCTCGTCTGTTTCATGGCCTCCCATACTGTCAAGAATCCGAAGCCGATGGTGAAGCCGGCCGCCAACGAGGCGATCTGGTAATCGACCTTGGACGCCATCGTGAACCGCCGTGAGCCGGAGTCGTCGTCGTTGTCTAAGCCGAGTATGTGTACGGTCGATGTTTCGAGCTCGCCAAAGTCCTGCCCGGTCGTCTCGAAGCTTCGTGGATACGCCCGGTATGCGAGAAGGGTAGGTCCGCAAGGCGAGACCGGTGGGATGTCGTCAAGACTTTAAACTCTAAAAGAAGGGGACCCAGAGTCCATGTCGAGTGGGAGAGGCCACTCTTAAGGCTTCATGCTTCTCCAGACAGCAGTGGGCTGCGGATCGTCCTCGCCCAGTTTCCATGTCCCACTCTTTCCCGGAGTATTTACTGCATGAGTCTTTCTGACTACACCTCAGTGTGAGCCTGTGGCAACAGCATGGAAAGCTTTTGGTTTGGGTACGCTGGAGAAGCAGTCCAAACGGCCCCGGGCAGCCTGGGCCGCGGGAAGCAAAACCCTTAGCCGACGCTGGAGTGCCTCGGTGGACTAGCTAGACCCAGATGGAACCCACATGGTAACAATTGGTAGTGTCATCCTTAGCCCGACGCCACAGCGCCGTAACGTCGGAGGAGCCCTTCACTACGACGCCGTAGTGGCAGGGAGGAAAGGCTTGCGTACTATTATGGACAGGGTGGTGGAGGGATATGAGACGACAGGACCTGCAATCGACACGCCCTTCCTTGAAATCTCGCCCTTCCTGCGTGCATGGCACGTATTCTGGCGGGCAGAAAACCCAATTAAGGTAGAGGCCGATGGAAGTCCTCGGCCGCCAAGGGTTAGCCTGAGGACGGTAGCAATACAGCTTCAGAAACCTGCAGGTGTCACAGTCCATTGGCCCGAAGACAAAGGATCAACAGGCACAGCAGCCGTGTCTTGTCTTTCG